CCCGCTGCACATGTTGCGGCCCGCGCCCCAGGGCATGGTGTAGTACTTCAACCTTCTGTTGCCCTTGTAGAAAGCGTCCTTATCTTTACCGAGGAAGCGGTCGTACTTGAAGATCTGTTAGGAAGAGGAATTAAAACGGTAGTTACTAAAAAAAAAGAAAGCAGCTAACTATGCTACGCTAACTGTAGAGCCTTAAACTCAAACCTGGAGTTTTCACTCAGTTTTCACTGGAATTTTCAACGTGACACAGAAACAGAGAAGAGAACTCTTATTGGCTGCAGTACTGCGATCGTCCTGCGTACCTGTGGGTCTCGATGTATCTCTGGGTCCATCTGGGGGCTGAGGAGGGGGAACAGACAGACGATGTCTCCCTGTCTCAGCTGGTATTCCTGTCCACTGGCCATGCGCAGCGTCTTGTCCTGCAGCACGGCCCTCTTTATCATCACGGCCGCCGTGAGCCGCAGCGTCTCGCTCAGAGTGCTATCTGTGGAAATGAAAACGGCCAGCAGGCCAGAGTAGACGAGGTCAGAGTTGGCTGAATCAGTGCTTGCAATGTGGTTTTGTTTGTGATCGTGATCAATATCGATTAATTGAGATGAATCAACATTGCGAAATATGAAATATTTTTTTCTGTATTTGGCTGGAGTTCTGATCGTACGTACCAAAGACGGGAGTCTTGGACTGTCGTAGGTAATCGTCCTGGTCGGTGAAGTGCCTGACCTCTGACCTGACAGCATCCATGGCCTCAGGGTGAGTGAGCAGGTAGCCCAGAAGCCAAAAAGCAGCAGGTCCCACGTTACACTGCAACAGAAGCGGGTGTTTTGTCTATGAGTTCACGTCTTCTCCAATAGGTGTCCAATAAATAAAGTTCCACTTATTGTATTTTACGGACTATAAGTCGCACTTTTTTTCATCCTTTGGTTGAGTTTGCGACTTAAACGCAGGTGCGACTGATAAATTAAAATATGTATTTTCATGTTTGTTATTTTTACACTGACAGCCACTAGAGGGCACTGGTATGACTAATACTCTGGAGCAACTTACAGTCCGGAAAATACGGTAATTAGTCTGACAACTATCGTTTATTTACAGCTAACAAGATGTCTTTGTTCGAATACGCAAGAGTGACAGGCAGAACACTTAAATACTAGTCCTCTAGGTGGCAGCAAATGGCAGTAAAAAGTAAAAGAAAGAGACTCAGAGCTGTTCTCTGATCTTGGAGTGTGTCTTTCTTCAATTCCTGGGAGTTTATCAGCCGTTGTGTTCAACTAAACGGGCCCAAGATTCAAACTGTGACATCATTAGATTTTGTTCTGTTCTGTTCTGTTCTGTTCTTTTCTGTTCTGTTCTGTTCTGTTCTGCTCTGCTCTGCTCTGCTCTGCTCTGTTCTGTTCTGTTCTGTTCTGTTCTCTTCTGTTCTGTTCTGTTCTGTTCTGTTCTCTTCTGTTCTGTTCTGTTCTGTTCTGCTCTGCTCTGCTCTGCTCTGCTCTGTTCTGTTCTGTTCTGTTCTGTTCTATCCTCTGTTGGTTTTGCGATATCGGCAGGGATTATATTGGAACAACACATTAGTCATTTTCTCTGGAACAAAAGTCAGTCCTGAATCACTCCTGTTCGTCTTTGTGTCGGGTCAATAGCATTGATTGTTTGCAGATAGAACCAGAACAGAAATCTCCAGGTGGGGCAGCGTTCACAATGAGCCGACGGTCGGCTCAGAGCAGATATTTGAAATCTGCATTTCACTCTGCACATTAGAAATATATGAGCTGCGTTCCCTCCACCTCACATCTAATCCCCCTGTTCTCTGCAGTGGCGTCCCACTTTCGGTGCCAGACGTAGACGGTGAGCACCTACGGCCCCGGCTGCTAACGCGACGGTGAGCGATCTTTGTCTTTGTGTTGCAGTGAATCTGCTGAAACCCTAACAAACGCTGTTTGTCCAGGTACGGGTTCTCCAGGCTGCAGTGCTGTGGTCGAACGTTCAGGTCTGAGGCGTCGGTGAGTCAACAGAAGGCTGGAGAGATGAAGAGGAGACCTGAGACACAACAACAGCCTGTGATCTCCCCCTGCTGGCAGCACAGGGCAATGACACTGTGTTGTCAGTGACAGGACTAGTGAGACACGTTGTTGTATAACAGGAACCTCTGTCCACACGTGTTATTCAGACTCTACATTTACATTTTTATCTAATGCAAATTACACGAGGTAGATGGAGTATAAATTTCCACTAGGGCTCGAACCTAGAACCTTCTGCTTGTAAGGCATGTGTGATATCCACTGCAGTATTTCAGGGATGTGATCCTATAACATATATATATATATTTGTATTTTTATTACAGCACACAAACAGCTATTTGAATTCAAAGATTTTACAAGACAGTGATGCTGCCCTCTGTTGGTTTTTCCCTGGTAGTGGAACTGTTTATACTATGTGCAGAGAACATTCCAGTCGCTGACTGCGTCTTAAAATATGTACGAGCTGTTGTTTCTAATCAAACAAAGAAAGTGGTTCATACAAAATGCTTCACTGATATTTTTTTTTTTAATTTAACAGTGAAGCCTGTCACAGCGTGGCTCGTGGGGCGGGGGCCCGTTAAGGTTCGTTTAACAACGAGCTCGACAGGGAACGCTTCCAACTGTGAACAAAGTTCCCACGAGGCTTCACTAATGAAGAGGTTACATTTGTCCAAGTCAACAACTGAGTCAACAACTGACTGACTGACTGACTGACTGACTGGCTGACTGACTGACTGACTGACTACTAACTAACTGACTGGCTGACTGTTTGTCTGACTCACTGACTGACTGACTGGCTGGCTGACTGACTGGCTGACTGACTGGCTGTCTGTCTGACTGGCTGACTGACTGACTGTCTGTCTGACTGACTGACTGACTGGCTGTCTGTCTGACTGACTGACTGACTGGCTGTCTGTCTGACTGGCTGACTGACTGACTGACTGGCTGATTGACTGACTGACTACTAACTAACTGACTGGCTGACTGTTTTTCTGACTCACTGACTGACTGACTGGCTGGCTGACTGACTGACTGGCTGACTGGCTGACTGACTGACTGACTCACTCACTGACTGACTGACTGACTGGCTGACTGGCTGACTGACTGACTGACTCACTCACTGACTGACTGACTGACTGACTGCCTGACTGACTGACTGACTAGTTTCTAGAAAGACATGATTGAAACTGTGACGCAAACCAAAAGAGGATGTAGAAGTAACTCTTGCAAAGGTGTCGTTAATCAAAACAACCGGATGTCACGGTGTCTGATCCACACGATCAGAAGTGCAGCGTGCGAGTCAGAACTTGTCACTTTGCTGAGGAGGAATCAAATAATCGCCTCTGAATCTCTGGTTGAATGTTTGGCTAAGACAGCGCCGTGGAGTGGAATTCAGGCATGTGGACTGGGTGTGGAGATATACCTCGCTCGGCCTGATGTGTGTGTGTGTGTGTTTGCGGTTTGATATTTGCATGGGAAAGGGGAAGACAGTGAGGGCCTCACCTGCGTCGTCCACAGCTGCAGCAGCGAGGCTCTGGTCTGTGTCTCCGCTCCCGCTCTCTGCTGCTGCAGGAAGCGGTGGTAGCTCTGCTGCCAGCTGCTCTCCTCCGCCGCTCCGCTCCTCCTCCTCCTCTCAGCACATCTTAGCATCTTCCACAGTTGCTCCCGGGAGGAGGTGAAGGCCTTGGGCACCTCTTCACGAGACGAGTCGTGCAGAAAGAGTCAAAGATAGACCCACCCCCCCCAGCACGGTGAAGAAACTCAAAGTCAAATGAAAACATTTTTTATTTTTTTTTGTTATTGTGTGCTTTGACTCACGACTGCGTGAACGAGCCACGTCGGTGAGGAGACTGTCGAACCTGAGGAACTCCTGGTGGACAGCGGCGTCGTTGTCTTTCCTCTCGAACAGCGTGAGATACCCGGCCCTAACAAAGTCCAGACAACAGGGTCAACAAGGTCAACAAGGTCAACAAGGTCAACAAGGTCTCTCTAAAAACTAAATCTGAAGACGAGCTGTAACTCCGACCGTTACCTGAAGAGGAGGCTGTGACACAGGCTGTAAAGACCAACATTCTTCCAGCCCGAGGGGCCGCAGTCCTGGTGGTCACCGAGCAGCAGGGTCCGGAGGTGAACGTTCATGGAAGTTCTCAGCTCAGACAAACAGAGGCCGTTGAAATGCCTGAGGAATTCCCAGGAAAACAGATCATGTTGTTGTGTTTATAATTCAGCAGCTGCTGTTGTCAAAGTGTTACTCACTGCTCCATCCACTTCCTCTCCTCCACCGGTCTGAGCTCTGACAGCTGCAGACTGAAGATTCTTCTGAGGAGTTTGTCTCTGAGGAGACTGTAGTCCAGAGCCGTGGTGTCATTTATCACTGCATCAAAGGAATGGGGGTCCAACAGCACCGTCACATAATTACCAGCCAGACAGACCTGAGGACACGACATTGTAATGTAGGTGGCGCTGCTCACATTTCTTCTCATTTTGTATCATTTATTATTAGGGAGGTCCGATATTATCGGCCCGGTATTAGCATATTTATGTAACATCTGTAAGAGTTGTTGTGGGTTTTAACGCAATGCCTGGGTTTCGCCAAATGATGTTTTCTAATAATAGTTCAATTGCAGAAAATAATTGCAAAACACTGCACTTGATTTCTTTAACCACCAGATCACCACTGTCCCGCTACGTCGGTATCGGTTAATATCGGAATATTGCTGGATATCGGCAAAAGGTTAATATGGACAAAATGTAAACAAGACGAGTTTGAAACTCACTGTGAAAATGTCCCCGTGTTTTTTCTTCATCCGGACCAGAAACGCCGCAACATCTTTTTTGAACTCCAGCGCGTGGCCCAGCCACGGGATCAGACCCTTGTCCAGGGGCGGCTCATTCTTTTGTCTGTCGTCAGGTACGAAATAAAAATGACCGCCACAGTGTGTGACAGCGTCGATACATCTAACGTCAAGCTTCTGGGTTTTGTTTTGTTTTTTTTTTAGTTAATGAATTAAGTTAAAAACAACAACAACAACAACAAACAGGAAAGCATCAGAAACCGTCACTGCTTCAACTCTGTAAAAAAGAGTTTTACAAAAAATCCACCTTGAACAGCCTTGAATCACCAGTGTCACCGTGACTTTACCTTGTTCGGGTGGTGCAGAGCAGAACCAGTATCGTGAGCAGTAAGATTATGGTCCAGAACATGGTTCTGAAGAGTGCGATCTCCTTCCTGTCCCACACAGAGCAGTATTCACCATAGCTGCTGGCAACTCCCTTATATATCTGTGGGCCTGGTTCAGGTTTAACCGCTGCCTGGAAACAGAGGAAGGTGTGGCCCGGGAGCCGAGCTGTTGCACCACACTCTGCTCTGCAGCGCACAGTGACACTCACTCACCGCGGAGTCAGTCTGCGAAGTCCACGGAGAGTCACACGCGAAGAAGTGACTTAAAACAACACGACGGTTTCGATTTCCCTAAATCTCTACATAGTAAATAGAATGTGAGGTCGGTCAAAGCTCGAACAAAAGCGTGCGGTGTGTGTGTGTGTATAATAATGAGGTTGTGTACTATGATGCGTGACAGTGACGTGACATCACCGCGAACTCAGGTTTCATAGTCAGGTTAGGCGTGAATGTAACATTCAGTTCCTCTGGCGATTTTTTTTGTGTGTGTCACAAACAGTGAGTTTACGTTGCGAAACGACACAAAATGACCAAACAATGAGGTGACTTTTTTTCTCAAACAGTTTAAAGTTTATTATGATAATTATCATTGATTATATTGTATCAATACTTATTAGTATCATTTTAAAATCACGTTACTATTTTAAAACACGACTCGGCAGTCGATGTTTTTTTTTAAAGTCCCAAATGTGAATTATAATCAGTTGCGCTGTTTAACATGAAGAAAAGTGACATTTTTAATGCCACCAGCAGAGGGCAGTAACTGACTTAAAGTCACTGTCTCAGATTGAAACGTGATTTAGCAAAACACAACAATCGGTAGATACTTTTACACCGAACTGGTTGTTGTAAAATCGATGTTGTAGAATTGGTATAATAATAATAATAATAATTAATAATGCCCATTTCTGACGAGGCATGTAGGACTGCAGATCGGTCGTCTCTTAATCAGGTCAGAGTTTTGAGTTTTAAATCCAGAGTTGTGATTTTTTTTTTATCTGCCTGCTTCCTCTACATTGTTCTTAAGGCTAATCTGTCTAAGATCTTAGATCGAGGGGAAATGATGTGCAGTGACTTGAACATGATTTAGATCTTTTAAGACAGGTGACTAATCACTATTAGTCACGCTGTTTGATTGCGTAACTTCTAGTGAAAGATAAAGCAAAACCAGTCACCACCAAATATGTGAATATATTAGTCAACTTCAACCACAAACTGGGTGATTGACGTAGTAATATTTATAAAATAGTTGTGCGTCTGTCTCGTAAATTACAACTGTAATTTACATCATTATTGTAATCCTGAACGAGGAGTAATCCACTGACTTTACTCCGTACTTTATGTCAGTTTATGTCGATGATATACTTTAATTCCCAGGACCTTTTTTTTAAAAAAAAATTCACCACAACTTTGTTCACTGACCTTTTCTCAGGAGCCCACAGTCTGGGCTGCACGTTAGGCCACCAGTGTGTCTCCTGTCACAGACCGACAGACAGTCAGTTCTCAGCCCACAGACCTGCAGAGAACTGAGACGATGATTAAAACGTTCCTCAGCGGGAAAGTTGTGCTCAACTCTCCCTTCATGCTCCTTCAGGCTCCGACCCCAACGACAGGGTCACAGGTCAGCACTTCATGGTGCAGTAGCTCTGCAGAAGTCCGTCCTTAAACGTTGTGTGATTTTATTTTATTTTTTTTTTTAGGTCAGTAAATTGTTTTAATGACTTGTTTTTTTTTATACAAAACATTAAAATCACATGTATGTATGTGTGTACCATATTCTCAGGACTGTAAGTCACACCGGAGTAAATGTCGCCCTCTAGCGGCTGTCAGTGCGAAGATATCGAACACGTGAAATTATATATTTTAATCTTTAAATTACACCTGAGTATAAGTCACAAACCCAGACAAAGAAAAAAAAACCATTATTAAATCACACAACAAATCTTTTATTTATTTATTTTTAAATATAATTGTAATTCACTCAAAACATCCAGGCCTATAATTATCCACCTAGTGATTATTTTAAAAAAATACTGTTTTCTTTTTGGGAAACAAATATTTGGCTGAATTTGTGTTTTATGACTGAAAGGCCATTTAATCGATTAGTCGAGAAAATACGTCGAAAAAAAAAAATCTCGAGTTGCGTTGAACTGTAACCAGAGCCTTAAATCACGCCGTAAGGAGAAAAGTGGTGAGGGGAGGAAAAGAGGGGAGGGGGCGGTGGGAGGAGCCTGACGTTGACTTTGGATCCATTCAGGCTTCCCTGCAGCAGCAGCAGCAGCAGCAGCGTTGAACTTGCAGACACACGGAGGGTCAGCCAGGCCGGACATCACCGCCGTGTCCGTCACCGCTCTCCTCGGTCCTGGGGCTGAAATGTTCACCACACGTGACCTGCTCTCGGATCATCTGCGGACTCCTGCTCCTCCTGGAGGACAAGAAGAGGAGTGTTGGAGGAGGAGGTGGTGAGTGAGAGAGTGAGAGAGCGACGGAGATTATCGACGGCGCCCTGAACGCACCACTGCTGCGTTTAAAAAAAACAAAAACCAAACAACAAATCACAGCCAAAACCCAAGCAGAGATCCGTGAAGTTGAGTCGAGGCTGCGGTCGGAGGGAGGATGGTCGCTGACGTCTGATCGCTGCTGCTGCTCCACTGGCTGCAGGCTGACGGCGCCAACGCTGCATTGTGGCAACTGAGACGCCGATTCTCCTTCCCTGAGGACTGCACGAGCCTGCCTCCCTCCCGCGCTCCAAAATGTCATCTCAGGCGAGAGTGAAGAAGGACAAAGAGATTATTGCCGAATATGAGACTCAAGTCAAAGGTGGGTGACGTGCAGGCCTGATCGATGTGCACTATTG